TTCCCACACATGGCCGGATTGGGACCAGGGATCCAACCACAAGCCAGGTATGTGCCCTTGATGGAGAACTGAACCCATGACCCTTTGGTGCATGGGTCAGTGCTCTAACCATTGAGTAACACACACCAGGGCACTCTTAGACTATTATACTCATTCCTTCTAGGAACTTGGGACAAGTGTCCCAGACGGTATTGAAAGACAACCAAGTCACACCAAACATTACAGGAGACTGTGTCTTAAATCCATTTAGGATTTTGGATTTAGTATTTACTATATGACTCCAAATACATTTGACACATAATAATTCAACATTTCCTAAAGCCTGCATTGGAATCACACTTTCTGTGAGTTATGCACCTGCTGCCCTGCAGCTCAACACAGCCTCCTTATTCTCCATTATATAAGCAGTCACCACAATGAAGTATACGAGCTACAGTATTTTTCACAAATTGGAGATATTCTAGCAACATAATATCCTGGGTCCAATAGATTGCACAAAATTATGGCCCTTCTCATTGGCAAACAGTCTAGTCACAGGACATATAGCCCAGGCACCTTACTTTTCTTCTATGTTAGAATGAATTTGCCACCTATTGTCATTATTGGAGAATTTAGAGTATGACTTGTCACTCATTTTGTACAAGAATCAAATTCCTTAGGTTAAGTTGATGTCCTCACATCCTCATTTTTTTTTTGAAGGGGCTTAGCAAAAATTGAAGTGTAGATACGCTGCTTTAGCTTAAGTTTAGCTGCTATCTGGCTTCTGTTCTTCCTTTGCTTGCTAATAGTGTCACAATATTTCTTCAGGTCACCTCACCTCCTGTGTAACTTATGGATGTTTAAGGATACTTTAGGGGTGGGACATGTGGCTTAGGCTTGAGATAATCAGTCTGCTTTTATCACGTGGCCACAAATTATTCTTGACTTAGATTGGTCAAGTGATAGAAGTGCCCAGTATATTATTGAGAGTTGTAGAAGAGTTCATTTTCTTCATAGAGTAGAAACCTGCAAGGATGAAACCCTAGGAATTTTAAGAAAGCAAATTGAGGACAGAACCAGTCTGAGAGTGAAGCCATCCCAGAGGAAATAAAACTTGGAGATTAATCCTTATTGATTACTTGAGCCCTTGATCAAATCATACTTAAAGCTAGCTCTTCTACAGAAATGTTGTTACTTAAACCTCAAAATTTTCTCTAGTTTGGATTAGATTTCTTGTCACTTGTGAAAAAAATAATCCTAAACTATAAGCCTTTCCTGACATAGCAGAATTCTAGTGATAGCTACATAGATTAAACTCACCCTTTGGCATATTCACTACACAAAACAAAATTGTAATTAAGGCAATTTTTCTATTCAAAAAAAGGTCCAACAATTATTTATATACTCCATATAATTTACAAGATGATACAAAATTTATTTATTGTGGCAAGGCAATGACAAGACTGGACTTCTAAATACTTTCAAATCATATCTAGGAATTATCTCTTCTTCTGTAAGTTAAAAGTCAAAATTGGTCAGCAGCAGAACCAAGCTGAAGTTCAAGATGTACCTAACAGAGTTCAGGATGTAAATGAAAATCAGAGTTAGCCAAAGTTTTTGGCTTTAATAATATTCAAAAGAAACTACCTGAAAAATATTTGCAAAATTATGTTCTGTGCCTAAACACAAGAGAATGTCTGTCTGTGCACTGATCTCGGTGAGTGAGCAAGACAAGAAGCTTTTGAATTAAAGGAATCTCACAGAGACCATCCCAACCTCCTAGGAATGGGATCCCCATCATATTCTTACATGCTCACAGAAGTCTTTCCATTGTCATAGGAACTGACACTGTATCATCTCTCTTCTCTTTTCTTTCCTTCCTTCTTTCCTTCCTTCTTTCCTTCTTTCCTTCCTTCCTTCCTTCCTTCCTTCCTTCCTTCCTTCCTTCCTTCCTTCCTTCCTTCCTTCCTTCCTTCCTTCCTTCTTTCCTCCCTCCTTTTCCCCTTTCATTCCTTTTTTTCTCTTTTTCTTCCTCTTCCTCTTATCCCTTCTTCTTCTTCCTTTTCTTTATTCCTCTCCTCAATTCCATCTTAAGGTATAAATCATTTATATTCTACTTTTTATATTTCAAAGTCTTCCTAATCCAGTTTTCTCAGATTCCCCCAGAATACAATAGTCTTCATTTAGCAATCTATGCAGAACTTGCTGAACTGGAAAAGCTGCAGCTGCTTCCACTCTACCATTTTCACTGACACTCCTGAGTTCTCTCCCTCCGAATATTGTGCCCTGATGAATGTCTTGGGAATTTAGGGGTAAGAGCAATGGAATTTCCAGTGCACATTTGGTTAAATCCATTGTTGTTATTTTGACTTTTACGATAGCACTGACCTTAAAGACATTCACATTTCCTCTGTATTGAATTTGTACAAAAATCCCATGAACAGTTTCTTAATTAAGCTTCTGGAACATAATTAGCATTATTTAGGATAAACATTTTAATTGTGCTGTTCTCTTCTTGGAGTAAACAACCTATGGATTTTACTTATTATAAAACAAAGAAGAAAAAGAAAAAAATTCATTTGTGGACAAATGCTCTTATGAAATGCTTTAAGAAAGCAATTAGGAATCAGGAAAGGAAGAGGAACACATTCATCTTCCCTGTCCTGGTTATATATCTCATTCTAAACCCAATGTCTTAGTGATGTCAGAAGTGAGAGAGAGAAAGAAAAATAGGAGGAGGAGTAAAATGATCTCTCCATCTGAGCTAGGAAATCTTAGAAATTACATAAACATTTTGGAGGTAGGAAATTACTTTTCACTCTAGCAAGGAAAAAAACACAAAAAATAATTACCAAATTCAGAAAACAATACGTATTAACATAGCTCATTTGGAATAAAATGAATCCAATAAATAATTCTTTGGTACCACTGCAATATTCCTCAAGCAAAATAGCCTCTGTGTGTGTGTGTGTGTGTGTGTGTGTGTGTATGTATGTGTGTGTATGTATATGTATGTGTGTATGCACACACATATATATGATATGTGTATATATATATGTATACACACACACACACACACACACACACACATGCATAGCCTGGCCACACAAAAACATATCATTTATTCCATCAAGGTCATTTTAATCACCAGAATATCTCCCTTTCATCATCTACACTCCATTCCTAAATTTCTTTTCTGGATAGTTGAACCTTCAAACCAGCCAATACTTGGTTGAATGTTGACTCTCTGTTTTTTAGTAAACTGAACATTATTGATTTATTTTAAAATAATCCCACTTCCCAGGTTTTTCTACTAAAATACTTCAGTATATATTTAAACCATGAGAGCTCCACAAATTGCATAAGCAATGTAAATGGATTATAGGAAACATTAGCACTAACAATTGTTGCAAACTATCAAAGCCACAAAATGATTAGAAATAGGTTAAGAGTAGTTGGGAAGGAAAATGCAGTGAAATAGCCTATTGTATCTTTTTCATGAATTTCCAAACCACAAATAAACTAAAAGTAAAATTACATGCCAGAATTCCTCATTGATGCATTTTATCCTACATGATATTAAATTAACTAGACAGTACATGACATTATAAGATAGAACAAATCTCTTGAACTGTAATTCACAGTGACTTTAAGAGTTCATAACTATGGGTATATGATGGCTATTAGAGAAACTATTTCCCATGAGCCCCAGCATTATCACAGGCATATCCAAATATAGCGACATCATTAACATCATTTACCTGAATACATGGATTTCACCTTCAGAACATGTGTTACTCATGTAAAAGCAAAAATTTGTTCAAGCATTTCAAGAGGCAAATGACTCACAGATTTTTCTCTTAACAAGAGCTCATCTGTGTCCTCAACTTATGATTTTTATTGAATTACTAACATCCCCCTCCCCCCAGGCATTTCTCAAGTAAAATCAGAGACTCCATATTAATTGTCTCTCTTTCTAGATGTCCCAAGTAAAGACTGGAATATAATAAATATTCAATGTATGCTAGTTGAATACATCAATAAATGGGTCTTTCATTCTTAATACTAGTTAAGGTGTCCTATATATAGCAGATTTAAAAAAATTAAGAAAAGCTTGTTAACTTTCATTATATTTTGTGCAGAGAGAGGTTACCAAAATGCAAACATGGCTTCATTGAATTATCTGCCCCAAAATATAATCAACATATTTATATTGCATATCAATATATGCAACATCAATCATTTAGTTACTGATCTATAGTTTTAATGTGGAGCCTCCTATAGTAATTTTAAACTTCAGAGGGACTGTCATCTAAATAGTGTATCAACTTCAGTATGTATTTTAACCATGATACCTCCACAAATTGAGAACTTCATACCTGGGTTGCATACCCTAAGAATATAAGCAATGGGACCATTGCACCATCTTGACTAATAAAGAGCAATGTTTGTACAGTGATGTTAGGAATATTATCCATCAACTACTCCCGAACCATCTTATTGACTCCAGTGACAAAAAAAAATCACCCTCCACCTATGATACTTCTTCCCTTTCAGTGGACTCTTCATTTTTACAATGTGAGTAAAGTGACCAGAGACTTTCAATAAGTATTGCTTACCTGTATAAAGAGATTAAGGCATATCTGCTTAGAAGAGATTATCACAGAAGGCAGGAGACTCAGTGTAGGATGTGATCTGCTCTACTTGTAAGACCTAAAGCAATTTTTAACTCAAATATTTGTTAAGCACCTACTATGCACCATGCACTGTGCTATGCACAGAGGATGCAGACAAAGCTTCCTATTCCTTGGGCTCATCATAGTCAAGAGGAAGCCAAGAAACAATAATAAAGTAACAAAAAAGAAATATTAGAGAATGAGAAATGTTGTGGTTAAAAAAAGAAGTCAGTGTGATCCAAAGATAACTTATTCATCATTAGTTTTCTTCTTCTTTTTTTTTTTTTTCAACATCAACCACAGAGGAAAGCACCAGCATAAACATCAGTTAAGTGCAATACTTACCACCACGATTACATTTGCTGCAGGGATTGGAAGGTTTTCAACTTCAGGATCTTGACCAGCCACGGCCAACAGATTGAGAGATGGATCATACGCAGGCCTAAGAAATGCTGAATTGACAATTTGGTGGTTTCTGTTTACTTGAGTTTCTGAAGAAGAGTGCTTATATATCTTTTGTGGAGCTATATCCAGGCTCTTCTCAATGTCTTGTGAATGGTGATAAAGGAATGCTGGCTTCCCAGTCCTCTTATGATGAATTGCCAAAATGCGATCATTGTTTCCTGAAAAGCACCCTGAAAGGAGGAAGAAACAGAAACAAAATTCAAAGACCTTATTCAATAAGATCAGTAGAAAGATCTGATATGGAGAGTTGCTTGCTCTAAGCAGCTTTAAGATTTGTGAAGGATTTAGACTAGTCTCCTTTTTCCACTGCTTCGTTATCCCCAACAAATAGAACACACTTGGTGGTATGGAGGCATCTCAGAAACTCTGGGTGGACAGAAGTAATAGTAGTTTGAAAAAGCCCTATTTATCAGATATTTTAATACCGCTTTTAGCCAGGAATTTCTTCCTTTATTTAAACTCACAGTTCCTACACCCTGTTCTACTTCTATTCCAGGATGTCCTTCCTATCTGTTCCTCAAATGACAATAATTTATATCATATTAAAGCTTTCCTCCTTTGAATATTCATGAGTATATATGAATATTTCTAGAGTATTTTAAGCTCACTGATAGGAATCTGAGTATACTCATTGTGGTAGCAACATCTAGTTATGCAACAATACCCATCCTTTCCTTCTTAGTGAGAGTAACATGGATATCCAGATAAAGTAATACATTCACCCTTATTTCTTCTGTTAGGTAAATATTCATTGAATTGGATAATTCTTTCTTTTACTTGTCTCTGACCACAGAAGGAAAGAGAAAACATACATGTTAGTCAAAAGATTATCACTAGTTCAAATATCAATTAGAAAAAACAAACATTAGATCTTTTACATAAATTAATAACCAGGGTGAGCAGATCACACATATTAATGCTCCTAACATAGTACCTAGCAACCGTAGATACCTCCCGATATGCCCTATGGCAACAAGAAGCTGTCCAAATATTGTTCATAGAAAACTACTCTCCCAGCAGAATCTGGGGTGGACTGACTTATGTAACTCCAGGGCAGGGATAATTTTTCTCTTGCATGCCTGACTGAAGCACAGCTCTCTCTTCACAAGGTCAAACATTGGTCTGTTTGGGCCTAATAAACTCTCTGGCCTCACCCTGCTGATTTCCTGAAACCCTGCCCCAACTCTAAAATGTGCAAGCACCCAGTGAGTAGCAGCTAGACTACGTATACCTGAGGATATTTTCTGAGTGGCCTCAGACCCAGCACTGGCGCCTAATTTGAAACTGAATCAATCTGGTGAATACACTTGCTCCTACTTGGTGATTCACTGTGAACCTACTTCATGCAACACAAGTACGATCAGAGGCTCTTTCAGTGACTTAACCTAAAAGGCAGTCCTCAGGCAGAGGCAAATGGAGGTGGATCTCAGAGTGCCTTCGTACTTTTGCTGGCCCGGCACTGGTAAAAGAAGGCCTTGTGCATGCACTAATATAGTTAGATAGGACAGAATAAAGAGCCCAGAAACAAAGCCATGCCTTAATGGTCAATTAATATGACAAAGGAAGCAAGAGTATACAATGGGCTAAAGTTAGTCTATTCAATAAATGGTGTTGGGGAAAATTGAACAGATACATGCAAAAAAAAAAAAAATGAAACTAGACCACCTTCTTATAAGATACACAAGAATAAACTCAAAATGAATTAAACACTTAAATGTTAGACTCAAAACCATAAAAATCCTAGAAGAAAATATAGGCAGTAATCTCAAACACTTATCATAGCAATATTTTTTTTTTCTGATATAACTCCTTGGTCCAGGGAAACAAAAGAAAAAATAAGTACAAGGGACTACATTAAAGTAAGAAGTTCTTGCACAGCAAAGAAACCATCAACAAAAGGAAAAGAGAACCCACTGAATGGAAGAACATATTTGCCAATGATACAGCTGATAAGTGGTTAATATCCAAAATTTATAAAAAACTTATAAAACTCAACACCAAAAAAAAATAAACAATCCTATTTAAAAGTGGCAAAGGACTTGAATAGACACTTCTTCCAAGGGGACATACAAATGACCAATAGACATATGAAAAGTTGTTCAGCTTCACTAGTCATCAGAGAAATGCAAATAAAAACCATAATAAGATATCACCTCAAACCTTTCAGAATGATTATCATTAATAAATCAACAAATAAGTATAGTTGAGAATGTGGAGAAAAGGGAACCCTTGTGCACTCTTGGTGGGAATGTAGACTAGTGTAACCACTGTGGAAAGCAGTATGGAGTAACCTCACAGAATTAAAAGTGAAACTACATTATGATCCAGTGATCCCACTTCTGGGAATATATCTGAGGAAACCTAACGCACTAATTGAAAGAATATATGCACCCTTATATTCATTGCAGCCTTACTTACAATAGCCAAGATTTGAGAGTAGCTTAAGTGCCCATCAGTAGTTAAGTGGGGTGAAAAAAAGCTGTGGTATAATACATTTACACAAAGGGATACTACTTTGCTATAAAAAAGAAGGAAATATTATCCTTTGTGACAGTATGGATGAATATAGAGAGTATTGTTCTGAGTGAACTAAGCCAGTCAGAGAAAGTCAAGCACCACATGAATTTCACTAATATCTGGAATCTAATGAGCAAAATAAACTAACAAAATAAAAAAACAGATTCATAGATACATAGAACTGACTGGCAGCTGTCAGAAGGTTTGGGTTTTGGGGGACTGGATGAAAAGGTGTCAAGATTAAGCAAAAAAAAAACAACTTATAGACACAGGCAATGTTAGAGTAATTACCAGAGGGAAGGTGGGTGGGAGGAGGTAGAAGAGTGTAAATGGAGGGTCGGGAGGGAATACTAAACGGTGATGAAGGAGATTTGACTTGGGGTAGTGAACACATTCAATACACAGACAATGTATTATAAACTTGTATCCCAGAAACCTATATAATTTAATTAACCAATGTCACCCCAATAAATTCAATTTTTAAAAAATAAAAAGAAAGCTACATATTGGGGGGAAATAACTACAAATCACATATCTACCAAATAACTTGCAATCAGAAAACAAAGAACCTCACAAAACTCAACAGTAAGAAGAGAACAAGCCAATTTTAAAATGGGTTTAAGATTTGAACAAACACTATCAAAGATAATATATACATGGCAAATAATCACATAAGATTTTTCCTAATCCTATTATCCAGTACATAAATGCATATTAAAATTGTGATGTGATGCCACTACAAACCTCTTAGATTCATTAAAATAAAAAATACTAACAGTATTCAGTGCTGGAGAGGATCTAGAACAAACAGAAAATTTCATACCTTGCTGATGGGCATGCAAAATGGCAAAGGCTGTATGGAAAATAGTTTGGCAGTTCCTTATAAAGTTAAACATATATTTACCATATAACTCAGCAATTTCATATCTGTGTACTTACTTAGAGAAATAAAAATTTATGCTCACAGAAAAATCTATAAGCTAATTTCAATGGCTGCTCTAATTGCTCCTCAAAAGAAACAACTCAAGTGTTCTTCAGTAAGTGAATAAATAAACAGTGATACATCTATACAATATAATATTACTCATCAATAAAAAGGGATGGACTATTGGTTCACACAACTTAGATGAAATTCAAAGGCACTAGGCTGAATGAAAGAAGACAGTCAAAAAGTCACATACTATATGATTCAATCTATATAACATTCTCTATAATGATGAAGGACAATGGTTATTAGAGTTAAAGTGTTGGGGGGTTGGGAGATAGTTTGAAAGAGTTTTTTCTGGTGATCAAACTTTTCTGTATTCTGGTAGTAGTTACATGAATCTAAAATTCATAGGCCGATACACCAAAAAACCAATAGATTATACTATATTATGTATACTATATATTTTGTAAGCTATTTTTTTCACTCAAAAAACTGTATCAAAGCATTCTTTCTTATCACTAAATATAAATCTATATCATTAAAAACTTATTGATAAACTTACAGAAAATAGTTTTAGTGTGTGTGTGTGTGTGTGTGTGTGTGTGTGTGTGTGTGTGTGTGTGAAAGCTAGAATTAATTGGATTGAGAAGCGAGTGGGAGATAAAAGAGAAAATATACGAATGACTATTGCAACAAGTTGGTTATGATAAGAGATGACAGTGTGTTAACTGGAAGGGAAGGTAGGGTCAAGGGATTTGGTTCTTTTTTTTGAGATAGGAGAGATTTGAGTACATTTAGTGAATGAAAGGAAGGAGTCAGTGTTGAAAACATAGGAAAAAGCAAGAGGAATAATCATTAAACTGAGTTCCCCCAGATCAGAGAAGGTGGAATCCAGAGTATAGGCAGGAAGATGAGCTTTGGATAGGAAATTAGAGGGAGGTATTTCTTCTGTTATAATACTAGAGGCCTGATGCACAAAACTCATGCAAGAGCAGGCCTTCCTTCTCCCGGCTGCTGGCACCAGCTTCCTTTTGGCATCCAGGACCTAGCTTCCCTTGAAGCCCCAGCTTCATTGAGAAGGTCATCTGGAAGGACATCTGGTCTAATTTGCATAGTATACTTTTATTATTATATATTCAGATTACGGTATGTGGTAAAATAGCTGTACCCTATAAAGATTACAGAGACTAATAAGGAGATAGTAAGATCACCCCCAACAGATTTATGGCTTAGAACCTGCAGAGACCAGCTAGATCCAACATGGCAACTAATTTCACCTTACCGTGACCCCTAGCCTCGGTGTAGAAACAGAAAGTCCATAAAAGGCCACAAAATGGCCCACCGAGCTCTTCTGAGAAATCCTGAATATTCATCACCCTTGTTGAATGCCCTACCCTGGATTAAATGAGCCTCAATAAAAGAAGTAAACACCATTAGGAAGGAGCTACTCTCTCTGTGGAGTAGACCACTCTTTTGCACTTCACTGATAAATGCGCTTTCACTTTAAAATTTATGCTGGTTCTCCTTTAAATTCTTAACTTCCTGCTGGAAGCTAAGAACCCACAGTGAGTTGCAGATCTTGGGGTCTGGGAGCCCTGGAGCACCTGCATCACTATGGGGAATGGGGAGAGCAGGGACGTTACTGGTTTTGGCAGTAGAAGTTGAGTAAGTTATCTTCTGCTGTCTTCTATTTTCCCTGTGCAGGAAGGGATGAAGTCATTTCAT